TGAGACACCCAATTCTAAGAAATAGATTTCTTTTGAACTCTTAAAGTAGGAACCAGCAAGGGCTTTTCTTGAGTACCAAGGGAGAGGTTTGCAGGTTCCATAGGGACCATCATCCCCAGACTGTGTGATGAAGGGAACAGTGGTATCTCTTGAGGACAGGTGTTGTCCAAAAGAACTTGGCCAGAGGTCTCCTCCTGCCTGTTTTGGATGGTAAAAAAATTTATATCAAGCACGAAGTTATTGTGAAACCCAAACCCAGATCATGAGAGAAACCCTTACTTTTAGCCATTCAGAGGAATACTGGTAAGCATAGTATTAACTTATGTATTCTGACTATGTCTCAACATCTGTGAAAAGCCAGATGAAAGGAAAATGAATGTCACATCTCAGACATTGTGATGCTGCGGTGTAGGTGTCCAAATACTGATGTGCCCAGACAACTATGCAACCAGGTATGGAACTTTTGGCCTATAGAACTGTAATTATGAAGAAGAAACATATGGAAGACTGTCCTCTGGTTCTGAGGGGAAAACTGGTGCCCTTCATTTAGGTTTCAGAACTGATGCCATTAAAATGCAGTGAAACAAGCACAGGTTGCAGATTTCTGGTCCTAGCAGTTAACATTGCAGAATTTGGGAATGCTTTGTATTTCCAAATATCAAGCTACTCTTCAGTTCTTATTGTGGATTTAAAGATTTGACTTTGGGCATACAAGTTTGGAGATGTGTGGAGATACTAAAGCAATGGGAATATATCCTTCTGTGGGAAGGAAAAAGTAACTATGGTCAGGGCAGTCATTCAATCTTACTGGTGTAGTTTTGCAGAAAAGATCTTCAGGACCTAGATGAAAATGTAAGTTGTTGCATAATTGAATATGACAGTTTCTAGTATTTATCCTGTTCACTCCATTGTTAGTTATGTTTTAATACTCCTAACATAAAATAACTCCATAACACAATAATAGAATTTAGAAATTAAGAGGCTGCGATATTGAACTGGTGTCCATTACTTCGTCTTCTCTTCATACACGGTTTCCTGCCCTTATAAAATATTACACCAGTTTGTAAGTGAGCACAGCTTTTTACCTTTTGTATGCTGCTGTGAATTTGTGAGTTGAGTGTAGTTGCTACCCAAGGATGTGGTACTTGTTGGAGAGTTAGGTATGAGAAACTGAGTTGTGTTACCTGGACCCTGAATGCTCAAGTAATTCATAATATAATCTCGTAAACCTGCAGTTATTGGATCTGAATGCCTTAGAGTTGTCATGAAAAAATACAGTAGTCTCTTCCAACATCTCAGCAGGTTCATTAGATTAGCTTATTATTCAGACGGAACATAATTTTTATAAAATATACTATTACATGTTTACTGATTTGTTTGTTAATATGCCACAAAGTACTGTGATGAATCATTACAACTAACCTTATCTGCCAAAATAAATTAATGACGTATATCTGTTAAAGCTATATTTTTGATGTTTTTATGTTCTATCTATTTGCTTGCTTAGGAAATTGCTTTGTTTAATAGATCTGCAGGGTCTTTTCCTGTCATTAGTTCAAAATAGATGTGGAAGGAAATTTTCTTTCAGATATACTCTTTTGCTTCAAAATTTTTTTTTTTTTTTTAAATGGCCTTCAGTATAGCAGAGGGAAATTATGTTATGTTCTTCAGAAGGCTGTGTTAGGTGTTTTTCCATGAGTTTCACACCAATATTTTGTGTATTGGTGTCATGTTGCATACTCAACCTTTGGACAAGGTATCAGTGGTTCCTTTAAAAGTTCCAGCATCAGGTTGTGTTCACTGAGTAATAAAACTATTTGGTAAAACCCGTACAGACATTGGCTGGTAGAGGCAAGCTGTCCTGGCCTGTTCAGTGCTGCATGAAGAACAGCAGCTGGGGAAAAAGAAAACCGCTCCTTCCTAACAAGATCTTGTCTCACCAAGGAAAATAAAAACAACCATGTCATTTATCTGTGTCTTTTCCTGTCACATGCTGCTTAACAGTGGGTCTATGACCTACCTTTCAACACTCTTGTCTTTACAATACAGTTTAGTCTTCTGCCCAATTTATCTGATGTTACCAAAAGTCAGTATTTTTCTGAAGCGTATCCGTGCTAGAGAATTAAGATAGTAAATATGGACTGTGCTTTTTGTCCATTGTAAGTTACGTCCTTCTGTTTAAGGAGAAATAGTAGTAATCCACATGAATGGAAATAGAATTACAGTGCATTATGGTTCAGTGATGCAACATGTTTTTACTTTGGAGTACCAGAGGGTTAGTAGTTATATACATGTCAATTAAAAGGAGGAAAAAAGGATATGCCCAGCTTATGGTGTTATGTGCCATTTCCTCAACTCTGCATTCTCTTTGGAAGGAAAACCTCTGAAGTGAATCTGGTGTAACAATACCAACCAGCTCCTTACTGGCTCAGCCAGTTGAGTTGATTATGTTATTCCATATTTGTATGGAGTGTCAACAACCTGGACATTGTCATACTGGAGGTACTGGTAATGAAGTCTTGAGTACTGCAGATTTAAATTCATAATTCAAAATCGAGTATGATAACTGCTTTCTACTGCATTCTGCATTTTGGTTAAAAAAATATTTAAAAATCAGTTACTATTAGAAATGTCTTTATTCTTTGTTTATTTGGTACTGTATTGCAATTTGTCAGAAGTGGTTTAGGCAGCAACCACCCTTACCATTCAGAAAGTACAAAAGAGGAATGACAGTAGGCTTTTGTTTTGTCAGTTGTTCTTAGGTAGACAGGGATAATTGATTTGTCTTTTATCACAGGGTGGTTCCTCTCTACCTTATGTTTGTTTTGGCTTTTGTTGGGTTTGGATTTTTTCTTCATAGCTGTGGACATCTATTAATTTCTTCTACTGATTATCTTAAACAGTTTGGTATCTCTCTCTTAGTTGCACTGCATCTTACACAACTAGTTTGAGTGGTGAGAAGAATGATGTAAGTCAGCAGCTTTCCAGACTCTTCACATTGCATAAACCAATGTTTTATGGATGTTAATTTCTATACAGAGTCAGTGCCTTGGAGTCTGGGTTCCAGAGAGCAATGTTTTTCAATATTGCAAAATTGTATTTTCTTCTTGATGAAAAAGACATTTTTGCTAGCTGTTTTTGTGATGGCTGAAGGTTTATTAACTACTTGTATGCTTTCCATTGCTACAGTGTCATGTTATTTTGGGGAATAGAGGTTCCAATGCAGGGGCAATAAATACTAGCATTTACTTGTTTTTATTAAGCAAAAATGTATCCAGTGTCATTATAATATTTGTAATTGCACTCAAGGTCATATTTTTCTCAGGTTAAAGTTTTTCTGCTCTGCATCTCTTATTTGGCTGTGGTTTTTAGTACTATTACAAGAAAATATAGATAAGGTTTTTGTTTCATTTTGGAAATAAAATCTAAACTGAAATATGCAAAATTCTCTCAGAGAATTTCTTATTAAAAAAATGAACCCTTCTTAGCAATTTGTTACTGTCTTTATTTTTCATTTCATGTACTCATTCTTGCAGATCTGTTGTGATTGTTGGCTAGTTTAATTACTGCCCCTCTGAAAAGATGAGTGTAGAGTCTAAAGTATGCAATTTTCCTTTAGAAGGAACCATGATGGGAAGAGGACAGAAGTAAACTCTTTGCAAATTGGCAGTATAGGTGTAGTTGTGTGAACCCTCAAAATGTGCAGTTGTTCTGACAGAATGGCAACTGTGAAGGTGCAAAATTCAGAGCATCTGAAGATTCTTTTCAAAAACTCATCATTACTCAAACACGGTCTAAGTAGAAACGGAGCCAGTGGAGCGTTTAAGGAAGACAAAGTAGAACAGCAGTTGCTGCTAAGTTCTTCTGTATTCTTACAATTCTTGAGGTTTTTTTCATAAAATACTTTCAGTAGCCCACTTCCCTGGGTTAGCAGTAATTTCCTAATTAAATGGAATTTCAAAGACAAATGCCAATTTTTCAATGCTGAAACTTATCACAGAAAGGATTGCTTATAGCGGATCTCCCAGGCGACAGACCAGGGAGAAGAAAGGTTAGCTGCTGCAGCATTCTTTTGTCTCTGAAAACAGCAGAGTGCCCCAGCTCTTGGGGGCTTTGCAAACATGAAGGCTACTCAGCAGCTGTAAAATTTACTTAATGTCTCAGACCAAAGCTTGGGAACCACTCAGCAGTGGCAGTATGTTACAAACTTGTTATCAGTACGTGACTTAAAAATGCTGATTTTGTTGGACTTTGATCCACTGTCATTCTTGTGAAAGTGCCAGTCCTACAGGTATTCAACTATTTGACTAGGCTACTTCATTCATTTCAGCCAGCCTAAAGTCATCTTGTGCACCTCAAAATATTCTACCAATCTCCCAGTCCCTCTTGTACAGTTTCTCTTAATGTTTGGTGATGCATTAAGGCCCAGTTTCTCAAGCATGTTCTTTAACTTTATTTTTTCTTCTTTATTGAGAAGACAATCAGCTTTCTGACTAATCATTTTGGATAAATGTTCTTTGTTCCACTGTGCTGGTATTCTCCAAAATCTACATCCTCTAGAAATCGTCAGAAATGTGACTCAAGCTTGCTTCTTTTTTGTTTCTAGGAAAAAAAAGAATAGGGTTGTTGTTGGTTTCCCCCCACCCCCACCCCCCCCACTAGGGAAGCTGTTGTGTCTACAGTAATTTAATGTAGTATTCAGGCATTTTATAGACTTGAGAATCTGTGGTTTTCCAGACAAGTTACAGAGCACCCTCAGTGTTGGGACCTGTGAACTCAAATGCATTTGTTCTTTCCTACCCGTTTGATCTCTGTTCCACCCATTTTATGTGCCTTACCCATGATGATTTTGTTTTGTGTTTAGTGTTCTGCTGAAGAGTGAGTGAGCTGAGTCCTTCCTGGGACATGTCACTAAACATGTCAGTTTAGGTCTCCTTGCTAGTAACATAAGTGTCTAATTGCAGTTGTTTTTAATGACTGGGAGTTTCTTTTGATACTAGGTGATGCAGATGTATCTTCCATTCTGTGGAATTGCCATATCCAATGCCCAGCTATTTGCAGCTTCAAGGAAGGAGTATGACAGAAGCAGGGTAAGTAAAAAAATTTATTAGACCAATATCAAAGCATAGTCTTTTCTTCCTTCAGATTCCAGATTTGCATAAGTATTTGCTAAGCAGACAGTTTTCACTATGTTTTATTTCAAAAAACACATTTTCAACAGATCACTATCTTGACTGAGGCAACAAGCAGAGAGCATGGGAGGGAAATACGCTCGCAGTGGTACCTGTTTTTTCCTGATGTCAGTTCCATGTTTCGTAGTGCTGAAACAATTGTGTTTGTGATACAGATAGTACAGGAGAGAGTGTTACTATGGCAGAGATTCAAATCTCATAAAATTCCAGGTATATCAAACCTTTGCCATCCTGAATTTCTAATATTTAATTCATGTGAAAATAATGTCGATATATCTTTATAAAAGTAGGCAAGAAAAAAACCTGTATGTGAAGGGGTTTGCCAGTATGTGTCTGCATGGATACTTTACTCACATTACTCATGATTACTGATGCCATGCATGAGTTGGGACAGAAGACTCTAAAGAAGTGAAAATAATGCTGAGTTAATGTCATTTACTTTTCAGAGAGGTCTTTGGGTTTTTTCAGAAATAAAATGGTAATTTTGAGGTTTTTTTATAATCACTAGCTTTTTTTTTTTTTCTTTTAAATTACCTTTCCTTCAATGACATGAAATTATACTTTTGTTATCATGGATCACAGCTTCAAAGCTTCAGTAGAAATACCATTATTAGTGTTGAGTCTACTCGCTTCACAAAGCAGGGGAAACTTCAGTGGGGTGGGTCTGTGTATTGAGCACTGACGTTTGTATATTCAGGATTTTGGTGCTTTCCATATATGGAAACTAATGCTTTCCACTACTTGGAAAACTAACACAAGCCCTTTCTAATGGTGCATATATTTAAGGTTCACGAAGCATCTGAGCTTGTTTTCTGTTCAGGTCTGACTACAGATCACTATATTTTGGGGTGGAGATGTGGAGTCTTGGGAGGGGAAAAAGATTTTCTGCCCAAGATTTTTTTCTTTGTTTGATGTTCAAACAAAATAATTGTTTGACTACATAGACACTTAAAATTTTCTGCAGATTCCCAGCTTGCAGGGAACAAAGGCAACTTTTGAGGAGCTGGCATTTAATCTTCTGAGGGAGGGATTCAGCAGAAAAGTATTAGGGACTTTCTCATTCTTCATTAGAATATGGTAAATTCTGACAGTTGAACACATCATGAAGTTGGATTAGAGATACAGAAGCTTTGTTTCTTGTTGCCACTTCATCCATGCAAGTCATAGCAAATATTTCTGCCATTTTGACCGCTACATGGTGGTCTGTACTTAATTGCATTTCTGACCTGTTGGTGATCTTTAGCTTTGTCTAGTCCATGGTTGAAATTAGTTGACAAGTAACGTGTGATGGACAAGCCCATACTTTGCATTCCCTATCAAACTGGACACCAATGGTGGCAACTTCCAGTACCTATGACCAACATTTTGCTGATGACCACTGTGTTAGGAGAGCTAAAATGACTAACATTTAAATGCATGCATGTATGGATGTTCTTTAGTGTTGATGCCATAAACCAGAATAAAAGAAAAAAACACACTTCTTTGGACCCATGGTAAGAAAGAACATATCCTATTATTTTTAAAGTTGATGAAATGAGAGCAGAAGCTCTTCGTTTTATAACATTGTATGTTACAGACATGTTGTAAGTGGTAAAGACGGGATCGGAGTGCTATTGGAATATGAAAGTATTGATGTGTGTTTTTTTCTTTCCAGCTTTGAACATGCAAAATGGGTAATAAATGAATAAATTGACGTTTAAATGCACCAGCAAATTCAATATAGCAAATCAAGTAACTCAATCCACACTGTGTACTTGGAGAGTTGCATTGCAACCATTGTTTCATTTCCGGACCACAGTGAAATAGTTTGAAAGATTCCCATTGTTTTCTAGGGGTTGGATTGTGCCCAGTTGTGAGCCAAGAAATACTTAATTCCTTTCTTTCTTCAGATACCCCCACCCCAATTCTGTTGCCATAATCATTAAGAACTTTATTTGAATGAAGATTTCAATGGATCATGCATATTAAAATCAATCCCAGAGATTATGCCTCCTTTGCAATGCTCCATATATTTATTAATTTTACAACCAATACAAGAGTTTTCTCTCCTTGTATGCAGGCTTTATTGGAAGTAGTGAATGACCTCTTTGAGGAACAGACTGACTTAGAGAAAATTGTCAAAAAGATTATGCATCGGGCTCAGACTCTGCTGAAGTGTGAACGGTGCTCAGTATTACTTCTGGAAGATATTGAATCACCAGTAAGTATGGCTGCACATTCCGTAGAAAGGCTAATATTTGAGTGGTGAAGCAGCTGCTTTTATCGTGGCGAAGCTGTTTCATATCACGTGTAAGTGCTGGACAGCCAGTATTTTCCCAGCACATCGTTCTTATAAGTTAGGTACAGGCTGAGTCTTTAAACCACACAGTGGGGTTGATAGCCCCAGCAGGCAGAAGCCCCACACAGCCACTCACTCATTTCTCCAGCCCAGTGGGATGGGGAAGGGAATTGGAAGAGTAAAAGCGTGAAACTCATGGATTGAAATAAAGATCGTTCAATAGGTAAAGCAAAAGCTGTGTGCACAAGCAAAGCAAAATAAGGAATTCATATGCTACTTCCAATCGGCAGGCAGGTGTTCTGTCATTTCCAGGAAAGCAGGGCTTCATCGCCTCTAATGGTTACTTGGGAAGACAAATGCCATAACTCTGAATGTGCCTCCCTGATGACCTGATTTGTTATCAAATATTTTTTTTCTCAGTTCTTTTCTTCATGGTGTAGCCACTAGAAGGGAAAGAAAAATCCTGTCTGTAGCTTTATATTTACCTGGAATTTATGACCTTTGTAACATTTTCAGGCTAATGACATATCAAATGGGTGGTGCTTGCAAGCAGTTTCAGAATCAGAAACAGTTACATTATCAAACAAATCTTTAATGCTCATTTTTAGAACTAACCTTTTCTGCATACATTTCAATAAATAATTATCAGACATCTTTATTGATATTTCTACAGTGTTCATACTTCTACATCTGTTACTGTATAACTGTAGAAAACTGAAATGCTTGTATAGTTTCTATTCTAGTATGTAACGTTGTTACATCTTTAATCACACTACTGGTTCCTTAGAAATAGCCGGTAAAAATAAACTCATCAGGACACTCTTATCTGACCATCCTGTCTATTCAGCAACTATTCAGCTTTACAGCAGTCTAATCAGTGTCTTCAGAGTGGTCAGCTTCTGAACTGGTATCATGAATGGGTTTTTGTCTGGTACAGTATTTTAATGTGGAAGAACACCACTACAGGAAGGGCTGAACCTGCAACACAGGGAGTTTTCTCATCTACTTTTGGTGGCCACTACTCCATGGGATTTATTCCTTCCTGAAAGTTTTCCACTCACTCTAGCTATTGGCAGGGGTATATTTCGGAGTAGCTATGTTTGCACGTTTTAACAAGTTTCTTTAATACTTTGCAAAATAAATAGTGAGAACCGGTCTCAGTTCTTAAATGATGAAAATGCTGTGAAAAGATAAAGACCTCTTGTTATTTTGACCTAGTAATTTTTCCCTGAGGTAGCAGAAAATCCACTGGAAAAGACACATTTGCATACAAATGTCTAGATAGTCATGGTCTTGTGATAGGAAGAAGCTTTTGCATTGAGCAGGTGAAGTGAAAATACAAATTTCAGCATTATTGAAGTATGTTTGGTTTTTGTGATTGCTCTGTCCACTTGGCCAAGGAATAAATATTTCATTTCAGAGCTCTGTTAAGTTGTACAGATGGATGTAAGCTATATGAAAGTATTTGTCAAGAATTGGATTTCATGCACAGTTTTGACAGGGGCTTTCACTGGGACTTTATAGTACTGCCATTAATAGGGTATAAGAGCCTTTTAAAAAATGTTTAACATTTTTATAAGTATTGTTATTAGTAGCACAATAAGTGACTGCCTTTATATTGGTAGCTCTCTTCAGTGTTTTCAGGGTATTCAACACAAACTATGCTCCTTTCTACTTACTTGAGAAGTAGCTGAAGGATAAAAATGTTGCTTGTTATACCATTCTTTTTTCTATCCAAGTATCTTTGGATTCACTGACTCTGTAATTGATTATTTGTTTCTGGGTTGTGACATGTCTAAATGATTATCAGAGACAGAATCATAATTTTGTGTGTATAGCAGAAAAAAAAAAAAATCTTTCCTAGAGGAAGGATGTAATTCTCAATTCATTTAAACTAATAGAAATTAAGTACTTTTAGTGGAGTGTGCCCCAAATTACACTAGCTTTCATAAAAGCAAGATCAAGGTTTGTATTTCATTTATATGTTCTCTGTTATAGAATTTTAATGTTTCTAGTTTATTTTCTCTTTCTAGACCTCCCACACTGATTTTATAATTACAAGATACAATTCTACTACATTCTTATGAAATGCCACTATGTTTGCAAGTATAATATAATTTTTATTTTTCACAGAACAGTACACTGTGTTAGTAGCAGGCTGTGGGTGGCATTGTTCACTTCATTTTTCTGATCTTGGTACTACTTCTACCTTTGAGCATGGAGGGTTTTTTCCAAGCCACAGGCAATGAGTTCTCATTCCTCTAGACCAAATTCTGAAATGTGGACAACCAAGATATTCAATTAAGCCTAAACGTTTTCTAAGCAGTCATAAATCTTAGGTTAATTTGGAGTAGGAGAATATCATCTTACCACTTACTTGGTAATTTTTACAAGTGGCAAACCAGTTATTTTCCTGATCTCCCCCTATTTCGGAGGGTTAACCTGTATATCAAAACAGATCTCCATAGAGTAACTCAGGGTTAAACCATGTCTACAATATCATCATTTGTACATTGTGTGAAAAGCTTTTACAACACAGAACCAAAGTGGAAGAAGGGGACCCATATTTGCATCCGAAAACGTTACCTGTGTTCTATGTCACATTAGAGACTCTTAAAATGTTTCACTTACGTGCTGTTGGCACATATGCTCAAGGAAAATTGGTTGCACTTAGTAGTGAAAATGTGTCTTTCTGTTTATTATGCTACACTTAAAAAAGTGAAGTTTGGGTAAAGCTTCACAATTCATGTTACAAAGCCCTTTGAAGGGAAACATATACTGTTGCAGAAAATAGATTCATAAAGGAATCTAAAGGTATAATTTGATTTGATATTGTTTCATAGTGAACTGTGCACAATGTGTATTCTGAACATGAGTTCTCCATCAGGGAAATACAGATCGAATTTGTATTCTAAGACGATTGAATAAAAATACAGTTGAAATATAGAAACCTTACATTGCTGTTTTCCTACATATTTATTAATCTTAACAATTTTAAGTTTCTTTTTTTGTGACAGGTGGTGAAATTTACAAAATCTTTTGAGTTGTTGTCTCCAAAATGCAGTGCTGATACTGACAACAGGTTAGTGCTCATTTTTTCTATGCTAATGACTTTATTTTTCACATAGCTTAAAATTTGCTTGATCATAGTTTTATTTTCTTGTGGAACTTTGGGTAGATTTGATTGAAGAATGTGAGTCTACAGTTTTTACTAAGACAAGAGTCCTGCTTGCTTCAAATGGAGACTTGCTTGAATAAATGTGACTGTATTTTTATGTGTGTGTATATGTGCACTAACATTGTATCTGTGTCTCAGAGAAGAAACCAAGAAATAACTGATGACTTTTTATTGTTAAACTCCTGAAGAACCCACAAATACTGTTTTGCATAGTTAATACTGAAGTAAAAATTACAAAATCATTTTAGATTATTGATCTCTTACCGAATGCCTCCTTACAGTTGTGTTGTAAGGTTTCCAATAAAATTTTATTTCTGTTCTTGTCGTCAAGTTGGAAAGCCTAAAAACTTCAGAGAACAGGTATTTCCTAGAAATTGTGTTCCTGTGACTGAATCTTGTTTGGAAGTCCTGACAAAATAGAAGTATATGTTTTGCTTAGTAGGACCTGTATTTAAACATTGATAAAAGTCTAATTGTAAGTAGTAATAGAAAGAGCTTTTTATCCATGTGGGGTTACTGTATTAATTCCTACAAGATAATACAACTGATAACAGCTCACATAAAATGTCCTACATACCAAAGGATTCGGGGCTATTGTGCGAAGTTTTCTCCCATATTTCAGCATCAAAACTCAGTGATTATCATACACATTTTATGCAAATCAATTCATACTGATTTTGATCTAGAATTTTTTATATAAAATGGCTGCCATAATGATGAATTTAGCCTTTTGTCCAACTTGCTATCCATAGCTTAGCAAACTTGAAGATTACTTTGTGCTTTGCTGTATTTAAGCCCTTTAAGAAGTTTTTAAAAGTATTCCTGGGTAAGTTGCCTTCTTTTGTGGTTTATTTCTTCACCTCCAGTGTGGCAAGAAGCTACCACATCATTAAGATGAATGTGCAAATTATTCTTCAGATTGTGACAGGTCATAATTCTTAATGCTTTTCATTAATTGATCTCCCGGCATTACAAAAATGGGTAGTGTTATTTTTAAGATGTGCAAACTGACAGCATTGTCCAGGGACACACAGAAAGATGCGTAGAAGCTAGATCTCTTCTGTGCCCTGTCTACTAGTTGAGAGATGGGAATGGTGAGACAAGTGGAAAAGAAAAACAAGTGATAAAAAATGGGGAGGTTTAAATATGAATAAATAATTTGTTGATTTATCCAGGAATCACAAGTTACTGCTATTGAAAAAGAGCTTCAGAGTAGCAGTTGGAGCAGTTGGTCTTTCCTAGGTCAATTAAATGGGTGAAAATACATTCCTTTTGTTCAGGGACAGGAGTATGAATCAAGGGATGTGGTTGTTATTCCTGTTTTTCTGAAACTTGATCTGTAGCCAGATTAGTCAAAACAATGTAGAGTGGTGTCAAGATAACCAAGCTGGCTCATTTCTTGTTACCATAGTTATATTAGCATGTTACCAAAAAGCAATTTGTAGTAGCCTGCTCTGCATGTACTCAAGTCAAGATTTTAACTTTAGTCTGAGACATGAATAAACACGTGCAACCTGGTAGCGAGTCTGAATAAGATTCATGAAGGTATATTTCTGTGCATTTTGAGATAATAATTTATTGCTTTTTCTTTCATTTTTCATCCAGTGGAGAGTGAAGTTGGCTTTACAGAGACCAAGGTTAGACTGGCAGATATGATGTCACATTTGGATCTAGCACAGGCACAGCTTGAGTTATTGGCACTATAGTGGGAAAACAAAGGTTGTTTAGGATACAGAACAATGCCGCTAGCCCTTGACATTTGAGTGTATTTCTAGGGAGTTTTGCCCTTTTCATTCTACATTCTGCAGCCGTAACTGATGTAAAGTCATGAGACTTCATGTGGAAAAAAATGGCAAGATGAGTTTCTTCATCATTACACCAGTGAGGATAAATATTATTTCTTTGAAATTTTAGTGGAAATCCAAAGAGATTATAGGCTGAGGACAGTTCTAGGTATAAGTTTTATCTGAAAGAGAGAGAAGCTCCAAGTACAATATAACTTCTCATGTCCCAACATTCTTTCTTGCACAAGAAATGGACTTTTTTTCCTCCCTCTTATATCTGGCTAATGGCAGTTCACATTTTTAGTCCCTAAATTCTATGATGAATACTCGTATCTTCTTGTTGTTGGTTGTAAAGAAACATCTTGCAAGACCACACTTGCATTTATCTGTTCAGTTTGCAATTTTCCAGCACACACCATGATCAAGTTTGTTTATTATCCGTAATGGCACACCCATGCTCTCATGTTTTGCCAGTCATTTTGTTCTTGAACTACTGGTTTGCAAAGTCTCCTAAATTTTCTCTCCCTTTGAAAAAAGATTACATAAATTTGAGAAGCTTTGAGGGTTCATTTTTGATGTATTCTAGATGATGATGAGCCTGAGGGAGGGTGCTATGTCTTTCCTGCACAGAAGTCGTCATCTTGGCAGATGATGTAGCTGAGATTACAGTTCTCTAACCTGAGTACCGGTGGTAGTGGAAAGGTTAGCTGCCTGAGACAGAGTGGAAGTTGCATAGAAGAAAATATCTGTGGTCCCTCCCAGTTGGGCTGGTACAGAGAAAGTGCTGAAATCCCTGCTCCGCTGTTTCACCAACATTGTCCCTAGGGTGATGTGCACTCAGGTATCACCTCATTCCCTGCGGTATTTTAATTCTTTTTAAAGCATCTTTCTGTCTTCGAGTCCTAGGACCTGGAAGAGTTCATGTCTCTGTTTAGAGGGGCTTGAAGGTACCCATGATTTTGGCTGTACCATTTCCCTACTGTACTTTCTGCCACCCCAGTCAGGGAAACCTTGGGGCAGACAGCAAGGCAAGAAGCTGCATAAGGGGAGACTGCAGCACTGCTCAGTGCTCTTGAGTTGGGTTTACTCTCCTGCGTGCATGTGTTGCTCCTGCTAGTGTGTGGGCAAGACAGGGAGATGGTGGCATGCAGCTACCTCCATCAGTCCAGCAGGACTCACTCACAAATTTCCAAGGTTTGGAGAAAATTGTTGCTTGTGATTTTTAGAGTAGCTTCTGAGTGTTCTCAGTTGCTGAGGATGGGGAGAGAGCCAGCTGGCTGTGATTTGCATCAGAATTAATCACTGATGTTTCCTCCTAGTGAAAGTTGAGTGCCTCTCTTACAGAGTGTAGTTGTAAAGCACTTGCTAGGAATGGAGACAACATAGTAGAACATACTTTTAAAACTTCTTCCTGAATTATATCTTGTTTCTTTTGCTTGAATTCATTTGCTGTTTATAATGCTTTACACCCATAACGCAGTATGTGATTTAAAGTGTCTTATATTATAATATCATCCAGATTTTTAAGGTATGAGCTGGGAGCTATGCATTTGAAATAAGATTCTTATCCTTAAGGATTTTTTTGCTTCTCAAGTATTGATGTCCTGAAAAAAAAAAATTGAATTATAAATGTGAATTTTTTACTTCGCTCAAAAAACATTATATTTCTGTAAAGGTTCCTGTCAAAGTATACATATAACATTTATTACAGTCACTCAAAATTCTTACCCAAATGAAAGCTGATACACTACATATATTGATGTAAATCATTATTATTATCTTTATTTATAGTCTTTTAAGAATATTGAGTTTTCTTTCAAATGAGTGACTTAGTTGAATTAGTCTCCAGAAAATCAATGCAGCAAAATCAATGCAACAAAAATCAATTCTTTCACTTTGATTGAGTCTTTCAAGCGTTTTGCTTTGCATCCTTCTTCCATTCATGTGCATTACTTTGCAGCTTCAAGCAATTGTAATATTCTCCATGGCTGCTCAGAGTCACTTTTTTCTAAGTAATGTTTCTCAGGTGTCAAAAATTTATAAGCTTTCTTCTCAAAACTAAGACAACATGAATTCATTTATTCACATGTGAATAGATATACCTTGCCAATGTCAAAAACCTGTCTGCAATGAGTCAATGAGAACTTTTCTACTGATTAGACGAGGCATAAGATGAGGACTTTAAGGTCTGTGCAGATACTGAGTTTTCTGGAGAAGTATGGTGAGTTGAGCCTATAATTCTAGTGTCTTATGCTCATTTATTGACAGCTCTCTAACCCCTCAGTAGTTGTGGCAGAAGCTCAGCCAGGGGAAAAAAAAACCAAAAGGAAATCTTCATGTATTGCATGATCCATTACTTGGATCCTCCTGCTGCAACATGCTTACGTTATTAATTTTAAGACTTATTTCATGATCCTTTCATCAGCCATTCAGGCCTGTTATTTCAAACCAAAATTTTAAAAATGGCATTTCCCTTGTCAGGAAAGTTATTGGAAGTATGAATTAAAAATACCCCAAATTATTAGACTAATTTGAAAAATCAAAATCTTAAAAGTATATACTTTCAAGGTAGCACTACAGAAAATATTATTTAGAACTGTGGTTGCTTTTGATGAGCAGACCCATATCCCACAGAAACTTGGAACGTTATCCCACTCTTGATTCATATGTAAATACATTTCATTATTAAATGCTGTATTTACATTACTCGGGAGACCAATGCTATTTTCAACAGAAAGAGCTGTGTAAAGGAGAGAATTTTTGATGTACCATTTCAATAAATCCCAAATTATTGTTTCATAGATAATGCTTAGTAGCCGTGAATAACTGTGAAGGGTTCTACTGAACCTCTGAATGTATCTATGAGACATGTTGGACTTCCAAGCAGTGTTGACTGTATTTTCTTCTTCCCTTGCTATACCTTTTGATAGTTTCAAAGACAGCGTGGAGAAATCATCATCTTATTCTGACTGGCTAATAAATAATAGCATTGCTGAACTCGTGGCTTCCACGGGTCTCCCGGTGAACATCAGTGATGCCTATCAGGACCCTCGCTTTGACGCTGAAGTAAGAGTTTTTTAGAAATGTAAATCTATATCATATTTTTGGCATTGTAACTAATATAACACAACTTTATTGTTATATCCAAGTGGCTGTAAAACATGTGAATATTTATTTTTTTATCCAGTATGTCCTTCTGGTCTGCTGGTGCTGACATGGCTTTATACAGTAAACACAGGTCACTGAATTAGTGTATGACTTCAGGCAGTTACTTAGTCTATCCATGATTCATTTTTTCCTATTTATAACTGATATCTTCCTTTATCAAGTGCTATGATACTTATACAAACTGATTTTTATTGTTGAAAATTCTGCTGCTGGTGTTAGCAGCACCATCGTTGTTAGCTGTTGGGATGACTGGGACTGTACACACACAGTGTAAACAGAACTGGTATCTAGAGAGACAAATGTTGTTTGTAATCTAACTCAGCCAACTACCCTTTTAATTTGCACAAATAAAATATACACAGTGGATTAGTTATTTCTCCAATATACGTATCACTCCTAATAAAAGTGTTTGTGTATCCTAAGGTATTAATTCCAGCCTCAGTTAGGAAGCTATAGATCAGATAAAAACATATGTGTATACTTAACATCTGAATAAATGTTAGAGATGTATGGAAGGACAAAATCTTCAGTGAATTCTATCCAGTGAAACAGTATTACTACAGGGGACTTGGCCAGCAGTTGGGCAGCACATTAATCAGTGGACAGCCTTGGTCAGCAAGCTTCCTAAAGTATATTACTACAGTAAGTGTGCTTGGAAGTTGAGAGTTTGCTTGGTTCCAGTTTTATTCCACGTGTCATTAAAGGGATTATCTCTCAAACTAGCAGAATTTGTCTAAACAACAAAAAACAGAAGGCACCTGCTGTAAAAGTGTACAAGAAAACTGTGTTGATGGTAATTTGTTCAGAATTTCAAAAAGTACAATTAATGCTTGGGGTCTATTTCTTGCCAAAGAGATATGCTGAAATAAAGCACGCCAATCCTTGATACGTTTGCGGTTGTACTTGTAATGTATCATGTCCTGAATAATTCAGCTCCTATTGTTTCACAGTCAGTCCTTTCCGAGTTAGAGGCACTCCCCAATTTATATGGAGAAAAAGAAAACTCTTAATACAAAGGGCAGTAATTCTTTTCTGTTGGTAGGTTTCTATGAAAATTCAATTCTTAAATTCAGTTGTTACAATCAGTTATTTCTACAGTCAAGTGTAGTAAGAGGAACATATTATCCCTTATGACTTAGAATCAAACATACAGTTGTAGTTATGAACAGATATTCTGTTCTCTGCTTCTATTAAAAACACTCTCTTTTTTCTCTGAGAGCACTAATTGTCATTTTCAAATGTTGATGCTCAATTTTCAACTTGTTCATCAAGAACTTAATGCCAAAGTATTTTCACTGAGTTAATTTTCAGATATACATGAGGCACTTGCTCCCTCACTCCCATGGATTTTAGGTGGTACTCCATGCTGGTTTCAGTGATGAGTTCTGAGTATGTACAAATAAGCAGTACTCTAGTAAAACCTGAGTTATATTTTTTGCTAGCTAGGAGATCACCGTGATCCTGTCCTGCCTCCAGTATATGAATTATTGGTGGTCTTTTACTTTTCTTCTGTTACAGATTGCCTGTAGCATTGGCAGTTTTAGTAAGAGAACATCTTCTGATCTCCTGTGAATGGGCTCATCCCAGTCTCTTACTCTAATCTCTTTTGAAAAAATATTTTATCTTCTTCAGATTTTGCAGCAATAACCCTAATGACTAAAGCTTATTAACCGTAGAAATGAGAGAATCAGTGACACCTATGATAAAGTGCTAAGTTGTATACTACATTACGTAGAAAACAATAAATGAGGCAGAAGATTCTCTTCAGAACTACAAGACCTGCATAGAAAATCTCAAATCTTGGTTCTTTATAGCTTGTGCTTCTGCAAAGTTCCCTACTTATTCTTCTGAAGATGCATATTTCCTGTAAGCCTTCTTTTATACCTGCTTTGCTAAATCCAATTTCAGTTTGACAATTGGGAAGAGTATTTCTAAGGCACACTTATTCAGTGAAAGTTGTGTCTACTAATCCACCAGTGTAAGTAATCCAGGAATTGTCTGGACATGGCCTCAATTGCAGTTTGTCTGTAATTTCAAACCGAAGTCAAATAGTGTAAGCTTTCTGTGGCAAAGATGGTGATGTTTGTATTTTCTTTGGCAATTTTTAAAACAATCCTTATGACTTTCGGTTAATCTTACTGTGAATGAGGGTTCAGCAGAATTTTTTTTCTGAGTGAGAGCTGATCCATATGGAATTACATTTGTAAATGTAAACTTCTTGACATTTCTATTACTAGAATGTAAAAGGCTGCAAATGGTACCTACAACTAACGGAAGCTCTCATTTCTACATTTTAGGCTGACCAGATTTCTGGCTTTCATATACGGTCTGTTCTGTGTGTTCCTATATGGAATAGCAACCACCAAATAATTGGTAAGACCTTCCTCATAGCTGCATTATTTTTGTGCTAAATTTAAATATATCTTTTTTATTCTATGTTCCTTTTTCTTCTTTTTCTCAGCTGAATATTGTTAAGAAGTTATTGTACCTAGGATGCATGTTAAGTGTCCAAGAATGGAAGTTTTGACTTGGATACTGTGTATGGACTTTTTCAGCTTTCCCACTGTGTCTTTGTTAAGTTATATATTGTACTGAAACTAAACAGATGAAAACAGAATTCTACCAATATTAGTGAAATTAGTTTGATACACGTTGATATTTTTCTTGGGTCTCCCTTTTTTGTATACAACTCGGGCAACTGTTTCTGCAGTCAAGCAAAGTGGTCGTTTCCCTCTTTAATAATAAACTACACAGTCAGGGAAGACCTTCTCTAGAGGCTGTGGCAGCTGTCAGAGTTGCCTGTGGCAGTGGTGTGTGCTGGATCAGGACATGACAGGGTTTTATTGCTTGTTTGATAGGATGCTTCCTAGCTATGATACACCTGCAATTGGCCCTGTGTTATTACCTGCTCTTGGCACAAAAAAGAGCACCATTTGTAAATAACAGTGCCAGATTCCTCTGTTAACTTTCCACAGAAGAATTCAAGTCAAAGCAATAGCAATTTAAACCAGCAGGGCAAGAGTTGCATCCCTGTGTGCTGTGGCTGTCGGTGAGAGCTGAGATGAGTCGTGCACTGCTGAAGGCACTTGCTGTCATGCAGGATCAGGATCTTAGAGCTTATTCAGCAGAGATGATGTGGGAATTGAGTCTTTTAAAAATAGGGCTCATTGTTTGTTGTGCAGTGAGTATTACCTTAAAGAAGTAGAAAGAAACTGAACCCTTGACTACTGATAGCTCTTAGAGTATTTTTCTAAGGGTATATTGTAGCTAAATGAAATAGAGTTGGTTTGTTGCAGTAGAACTCAGTTCAGCTAGAACCTTTTTTTTTTTTTTTTTTTTTTTTTTATTGGTTCAATAAATTTATGGACCAGTCATGAGAAAAAAAGGACTTGTATACCCAGGTGATGCTAAACCAACTAACATTTTAGGAACCAAAGTAATGATTCAGTAAATTTTGTTAGTAACTTCAAATTGCTAGGACAATTTACATGATTGCTGTTAGCAAAGTGCTCAATTTCTTTCCCAAGGAGATCTTTAACTTTTCGTGAAAACATCACGAGTAACTTTTAGATTTGTGATATTATACTTGGAGAGTAAAAAATCACAGTTGAAAGTAATAAGCTGAGTCCTGGTATCAAAACAATCAGACTTCTACACATTTATGTCTGTTTAATGATTTTTAGAATAAATACTTGCAGTTTTGCTTTTCAGTTTGAAAGATGTATTTTAAATGTTACTAGTTAACAAAATATTCTGAATTGTGAATTAATGTGAAGATTATAATTCATATTAACTCTTTCTGAAGGTGTAGCTCAAGTGTTGAACAGGCTTGATGGGAAACCCTTTGACGATGCTGACCAGCGACTCTTTGAAGTAAGAGGCATTTAATTTTGTCGCATAATCATACTTTTCCAGCAGGATTTGATATTTCTGGGTAGTGCTGCTTCTGGCAACTCTAGGGAGGCGGGGAGAAAATGTTTTTTCTGTATTGGTGGTTTGACATAAATTCTCAGAACTCCTCGTTTAATAACGTTGCATCCTAATTAAAACAAGTTCCTTGCATCTGATCTTTCTCATCTTGTTGGGGCCAGTGACTTACATTCTCAAGATAACTTGTCTAAGCATAATTATTCCTAATTTTTCCATACAATTCCTTTTCATGATTAAGCCAGCATTCATCTTTGTGTGTTATAATTGACTTCCTTTTCCTTTTTGTCTTTTTAATTTTAGGCTTTTGTTATTTTTTGTGGCCTGGGCATCAACAACACAATTATGTATGACCAAGTGAAGAAATCCTGGGCAAAACAGTCTGTGGCTCTTGACGTATGTGTACATCTCAATGAATCCTTTCTTGCTCATAAGTGTCACATGTAAAGGAACATACTGCTTCTGAATTTATTGTAGTTAGCATCATTTTCTGTATCTACCTCTCTGCACCTTCGAGTATTGTGTTATTAAGGTAATGCTGAAGAGAATCTTTCTCAGGGTATGTTTAGTGTGGAACTCATACAGAGCTCACATAGTTTTAAACCTGGATATCTCATTTGATGCATATGTTTTCTATGTCAGAAGGTGGGACAGTGATGATGGAAAATCTAGTTTCTTACAGGTGTAAGTGCAGGAATTAATCTAGGTGTTATATGTATTTTTTGTCCATCAGTAACTGAAAATTCTTTAGAATTTGGTATTTTGGATAGCTTGTGTTGTTTTCCTAGAGTTGTAAAGTGTCAATAAAACATACTGTGACCAGGACAAAATCTGAAGAAGTGATCATCATCATAGGGTTTTTTAGTATCAAAAGCAACATCTGCTGAACCCTTATCAGATTTATGTCTGGCTAGAATAAAGTTAAAGCAGGATGGCTGGCAGAGCTCTGCTGCGGGTCAAGATGAATGCATAATCCAAGGTCCTGACATTTCAACACATCATGTCTTTCTAGAAAATGCATAGAGAGTAGCTAAATGGAGGGATTACTTTCTCTTTTTTTTGACCATTGCCTTTGTAGGAATTTCTTTTCCTGTTTCCGCTCCCCTCTGTTGTTCATGAAGAATTAAAATCTACCAGCTCCTGTGAAAACTCTAAAATACAGAACATTTCAAAAGATTATGATTATTTAAACTTCTGTAAGCCAATTCAACAATAAAGTACTATTCTCTTATATTCTGGAGATTTTAAACACAAACATATTAAAAATAATCTTGGTGAGAACAAAGCTTGGAGTTTTGGGGATAGCTTTACAAATTTATGTTATTCCTACCTAAATATTTAAGAGTGGTTTGAAGGAAATTTAAGATCTTTTAAAAAGCATTATGTAAAACTGATTAATCTTAAAACATTTCTCTGATGAAAGGGTAATGTCGCTAAGATTTCAGTATTGTTTTAAATTTCACATGTGATAAGAGAAGAAAATGATCTAGCTAGTGTACCCTTTAACTGTATAGTTCCTTTGGACTCATACAATACCCACCATCACAATAAGAATCACAAAAATAGTGTTGGCCTGACTGAGATATGAATTTCTCTCTATTAAAACAAAAATCAAACTGGATTGGGTTTTTTTTGCTTTAGGGTTGGAGATAATTGTATCTGTATTAGGGATTTAGCCTGTAAAGCACACAGACATGTTAAGGCTTTTTTGAAGTCAATAGGACAGTTTGTGTTAGAAAACATTCTAAGTATAAATGGTGGGTTTTATTATTCCTGTGTATCTATTCACTTAGAGGAAAAAAGTTAAAACATTTCCATTTCAGGCCTCCTTCAAGATTCCTTTTTCTTTACATATCATAGTCATGAATTACTATAAGCCCTCAAACGCCCCAGATATTTGTGCAGTATGACACCTTAGAAGTAATACTTCTCCTGGCAAGAAATGTACAGCAGTGTTAGATATCACGCTCAGATACAGAGGGTTGAAAATTAACACAGAAGTTTGTTATTTAATACTGAAGTCAAGAAAAATTAAATTTCTTGGTTTAAAATACAGATTCTTCCTTTGATCTAAAAAAGACTAATAGCCATTTAGCTTGAATGTAGATTATAGGCTTGATAAATGGCCACTATGCTTCAGTGAAGAGTAATTCTTTCTATAAATGAGCAACAACTCATGATAATATTTGTGTGAAGTGATTGAAGATACAGCAGAAACGTACTGAACAAAAGAATGGTATATGCTGAAGGACTGTGAATCCATTTTTCAGTAATAGAATACTTTATTAGAATTTATGTATTTAGATAGCATGGCGATGAGTGGCATTTGAAAATGACTTGATATCAGATGTAAAATAAATCAATTTGATTTATTTATCATAAGATTCTTATACAGCTATACAGATACTTTTTCTTATAGAATTCTCATAAGATTGACTAAGAAGAGCAAAATGTAAACAAATGATGGGGAAAGGTTGACAGTAGGATGCTATATGGTTAAAAAACAGGCTAAATTCTGGTTTATATATTAAGGATGCAAAATTTGCAAATGAGTAAAAGGTTAGAATAACCAGTACAAAGGAAGACTGTAAAAATCTAGTGGGATATAATGAATACAGATAAAGAAGCTTGATGAGAATTTTGGTATTAAGTGTAATCTGTCATGGCAGAAGCCATAACTTTACTAACCTTATAGATTTCTGAGAAGCTATAATATGGTTGGTTAGAAAAATAGATAATACATGAGGAAGGACGTGATGTATAGTTACAGAAAGTAAAATGTGGGACAGAACAAATGAATTGGTGTTTGCTATTTATTCTTCTGTAGTGCAGGAATGATTTCCTATTACTGTAAAAGATGACACCTCTACAAAATTGATATGAGTAAATACATCTTGGGACATATTGCCACAAGGTACTGCAAGCTAAGGGCATTTGAGATAGACTTTACATATTTATATGAGTAACAGAGACATTCATAGATGAAAACAATTTCAAAATGAGGACCCTTGGTGGGTCTAGTACACAGGATGGCTCTTGCACCTTCTGGAGTGCTTGTTTAATGTTAGCATTGTCACATAAGGATATAATTTATTCCATGTAAATGTATGCATTACTTACAGGTAATAGAGGAGGTGTGCAGCACTTTGTGCGTTTGGTGTACTGGTTTCATCTCCAGAATGGTATCGAAGAGAATGTCAGACATAGCATAGAGGTGCTAATTTTCATCAATGATGTGCCACTAGCAAAGGCATTAAAGCTTTACTGTATAGCAAAAGGCATTATTTAAAGTCTATAAATCTACTGTTATTTTTCTATTAAATTCTTTCTCTTTTAATTGTAGAACTCCAGGAGAACAATGTGGGAATGCTTATAATATTGAATTACTTATTGTTCATGACGTCCTATAAAATTCCCTGCAACATAAATGCCAGATGTATACCTGATAACCTGCAATTAGTTATTATATGATGACATTCAGAACTGAATTACTATGCATAAATATTAATCAAATTTGTTTTAAACATCATTGATTAGACTGCAGTAGGGAACCCTATTATTTCTACTTGTCAAGTCTACAAAAATGTTTTTTTATCTTTTGTTCTGGGGCAGGTGTTATCTTATCATGCAACATGTTCGAAGGCAGAAGTTGATAAATTTAAGGTAAGGATTTAAGTTTTTAGTTATTTCTGAAAATATAGCAGTAAATTAAAATGGATGTAGATTATCTGAGAGAAAAGATTTACATCAAAAGCAGAAAATCATAATCAACAATGATTTATGACAAATGTATTACATGTTAGGCTCTTAGGCAGGGAAGGTGGAAAAAACCCTTTCAAAGGATGAAGAGCTGCAGTGATGGGTGCACAGTACAAAATAACGCTATCCCAGCACCAGCTGCTGGAACTGCACGTCAACATGGATTTGGTGGCCTCCTCACCAAGAATCACCATAGGGAAGTCATAATATAGTGGGGGGTGAGGAAGAGACTAGAGAAAATGAGCGAAACTTGAGTCTTTGCATGCTTATAGTGTGGAAGCTGTCCTGTGTTTACCAAAAAAAACAGAGCATTCACTATCAAGATTATGCATAGGCTCAGAAGGCTGGACGTGAAGGTGGGAAATCCTCTTCCAACTTCTGTAAGTGTCCTGGGCAGAACTGTAAAGCGATGTGTGCTGAACATAGCATTGCTAGGGACCGATAACTGTGTCTTCTCACTGAATTCTGCCTTGCCAAGGGGTAGAGAGTACGAGGAGCAGTGACCTTGCTCATTCATCTCCAACACTCCAGAGCTGCTTTTGTGATAGGCTTTGTTTGTCCTTTTCTGCTTGAGGAAACACTAGGGAAAGGGTGGCACTTTCCTCGGCTATGAGGAGTCAGTGTTGTAGAGGGCTCCTCAAAGTGTTTGGGGGGTTCTCATGGTGTGTATCAACGTTGGTCTCTGATACACAAAGTGCATCAGAGGCTGCGGCGAGTCCTGGGAAGGAGATCTGGACTGTTGTGACTCCACACTGCTGGCATTCCCTGCTGTGGCTCCCTGGCCTCACCTGCCTAGCTGAAAAATAGCTGTTTGGTGGTTATTCTGACGCTTGGCTGTGTGGCTGCATCCTGATCTCTGCACTGTGGGGATAGTTGTGGTGGAAGGGGAAAGCTGTGGGTGACTTAACAGAGCTGATACTAATGAGTTACTTGGGCTGAGGAAGGGCAGCTATTCCTGGTTAGTTAATTAGTTTGTAGAGTATTGCCCAAATTATGGCTGTGCCTTATAACTCTGTATCGATACCTGGTGATAAGGGTGTAATATTCTCCCATCATTGTAGTTATTGGTGCAGTTACCTACTTTTTTGCAAGCTGAAGATTAGATTACTGCTGGAATCAAACATGCTTGAAGATTGCTCCAATGCTTCAGCCAGCAGAAAATACTTTTGTGTGCTTAATATGTTGTATTTACACTTAGCAAAGTAACACTGAACACTGTGAGAGAGAAGGGAAAGAAAGGGATAAAGGACCATAAATATTTCTTTTTTTCCTTTTTTTTTTTTTTTTGTTTTTTTGGTTTTTGTTTTAGTTTACCTTAGAATAAACACCTGTAATATAGCTTCTATGACTGTCAGGATTCAAGTGATATCTTTCTAGATACATGGTTGCTGTCAGCCATTAAAAGACATTCGCCATCATGGTCTGTGAGTTGGAAATAAAAGCTTGCTATGTGACTCTTTGGAAATAGATACTGGTGTGATGAGGAGCTATTCTACTTGTTTTCCCAGGTGTCTTCATTAATAGATCTGCCAGTCTTCAAGTAAGGAATATCTTGTCGTTATCCATTTACCTTGAAGGCATGTAACTATCCATTTAAGGGTTAATGATTCATTAATAATCCCAATAGATATGTTTTTTTTATAAAGAAAACAGATGACAAAATGAGGAATATAAGACAGCTATTATTAAACTAAGATGAGACACTTTTTCAGAAAAATTTTCTCTTTCCTATATCCAGTTGTCTCACTTTCAATTCTTGACAAAATGAGTGCCAGGTAGTCTTTGTTAATGCTTTACACTACTAGTTGTAAACAAAACAAAACAACAAAAACGCAGAGAGGACCAGCGTGTCTTGTGGGCAGAGAGTTCATCCCCAGAGAGGCCCATCCATCTGTGGGATGAAATTGTTTCCGTTTCCCCCGCCTTGCAGAGCCCTGGCAGCCAGTCTCCCTGCTGAGGTCTCCTGGGGCATCCTACCCTGAAATCACTGCTCTCTCCTCTGTTTGTTATGTTGTTATCTTTTGTATAAGCCCTTTGTTATATTAGGGTCATCTTCTAGACTTGACTGGCTAATAAACAATTCCTCCCTCTGGGGGTGTTTGGGGCTAAAACTGTCCCCTCTCCCTTTGGTGATTTATTGGCAGATGTCAGAGGAAATGTCTGTTACAATTTACCTGATGTTCTGGTTCAGTCAGAACAGTAACAAATAGACATGATAGAAACATCTAAATGAGAGTAATGCCAGTAGTTCACTACAGGCTCTTGAATGACACGGGACATAACAGTAATTAATGACTTTGGAGTGACAATACATTTGAGTTGACAACTTTTCAACATATTACCCCAAACATACTGTAACTGGACCCTAGCAGCTTAGAAATAATAATAATATATTCTTCCTCCTAGTTCAAGTTGTTTATTTCCACTTTTGTCATCTTATTTCTTTATAGTCTTAATAAAATGCTTTTCCATTAATTTTTATTTGCCTAAGGTCTCAAGAATACTCTGATACAAAGTGAAAAATTGCAAGTGTACTTGAAGTTTATTTTTCCTCTGGCTTTTACCAGTGAATTAATTTTATTGCATTACAGAAAGCCTAGCAAGGCTTGTTAAAGTTGATTTTTTTTACTTGAAATTTTGTCAATAATTTCCTACTGTTGTTGGGAGAATTCACAAATATACATATTCACAAATATACCTGGTATGTTCTTAAGAATTAAATGTAATCACCGTGAGCAGGTTCTGTAAAATAAATAACATTTATTTCTGTTGCTACTAATCCTATCTAAGAATTAATGAAACAACATAACAAACTCATCTTAGTAAGAAACCCGTAAGAAATTAAATGCATTTCTCCAGCTGCTAGGATGGGAAAAAGTGCAGAGCACCATTGGTTGTGGAGCTGGAAAATACAGAGAGAAGTTCACAGTATGAAGCAATGAAACACTGTATGACACTGGACAATGTCATGCAATTGGCCTATTCCATATCTGATTTCCACAGCTGTGTAAGAACGAAGCAGCAACACAGATTCACACTGAACAGGGGGGGTTGCACATTTTTGAAGGGATTCCACTTCCGTTGTTTCTAGAACATAGCTTTTACTAATAAAAATCTGAAAGGAAATTTTAAAAATGCTTATATGATTAGAAATTGTTCTTTTAATGAATGGATGGGTTTTTTTTCTCAAAATAGGATCCAATTATATGAATCATTACTGTAAAATTTTATGTCACCAGTCCTTTTCATTATGTGCATTAAAGCTTTTGGGATTCATTAGCACGCACGCTAACAGGCACACATTTCTCAGGAGGCTGGCACGAGCAGGATGGGTACAAGACTCCAAGGCAGCGCAGGCAGGTGCAGCTCAGCCAACCTGGGTGGAGGCACCCATGCAGCCTGCTGCCCGCCCGCACCCTGGGGAGTAGGAATGGAAAGGTCACACCCTTAACCCAGTGAGCCCGTTGTAGTGATGAGGGAGGGGGCTTAGCCCTCCAGGTAGACACAAATGGAACTGCAGAGATCTGGATTCAGAACCTGAGCAAATCCCTGAGTCTCTGGGGGTGATAGTCTGGCCCCAAGGAAGGTAATAGGACATTTGCCGTTGACGTCAGGAGGATGTTGTTGATCTTCGGCTTTGTTTGGAATTTGTAAAACTGGCAGTCAGTCTTTTGTATGGCGTTTTCTGGTGGAACAAGATCTCTGAAAAAAATTAAAATTTAAGATCCAGTCCTCTTTTAATGCAAGTTTAAAATGTAGGTTATGTAAAGACTTGAGTTATCACGTGGTATAAAATGGGTCTTTTTTCCTGAAAATGGGTAGGTTTTTAAAATGGATAAAAATATATGGAAGCTGAATTGATAGAGTGTCAGTGACAGGCAATTGAATCAGAATTAATTATTAATCAGATTTAATTTTGGGTAGCTACCATTATTCCTGTATTTGGGATATGCACTGTACTTCCAGGTTCTAAGAAAGAGGATATGGATTTTGTGAATGATTTATAGGATTAAAACAGTCTCTCCATTGCCAGATCAGTTTTCATTTATTTGCTACTAAATATTTTTCGACATTGATTTTTTAAATTTTAGATTTAGAATATGATGGCTTCCAAAAAAACAAAAATCGTTTAAATCTAATATACCGTGAAGTTCATATAAACTGCATAATATTTTTTAGGTTTTCTGATATGTTGCTGCATTACTGAGATAAGTAGATTTCTATAGATTCAGCTCTAGATACAGGGAGATATATTTAACTTTTCCTGGGAATTTGCAAATAATACCAAAATAATTCCACCTTAAGTGCAAACATTTCTTGCATATGTGAGAATGTCTCTCTTGAAGTCTTGAGCCTGTTTTATCACAATGCTTCTCTTCACTTGCATCTACCTAACTACACTAAATTCAAACTGAATTTTGGCAGGATAAGCTAAAGTAATGCACCAGTGAATCATAGCCACATCAATATTCCTCTTTAAGAAGATACAGATAGGTATGATTTAAAAAACTTTGGCAGCTCAGTTCTCTCTTGTAGTTTAGACTTAAAAGACAATTCTGTTATTTCCTTTGTGTACTAGCACTAGCGTTTAGTTATAAGCATTTGTAGTACTGGAATAGAAAAATGTAAGACTAGTGAAGTCTGATTAATCCGATTGATGCTATCCTGTAGCATTGTCCTGTAGTGCCAGGTTTCTTCTCATTGAAATGCAGGCACTCCAAGTCTAAAAATAGTTGTCTTTTAGACAAATATAGCAAGCCAAGATACATGAGTAAAGAATGCAGAATTGTGCCCAGGACAGGATATTTATAGCAAGAGTTACTGACTTATGAGACAGTAAAGAACAAGTCCTGTGACTTAGCAAGCAGTCCCACAAACACACATCACCTTTAAATTTAACTAAT